TTTATCAGGTTACATAGTTCTTGACTACAATAGACTACAATACATATTGCGTGCTGGCTATGCGTACAGGCTTAGTTCACTACCCCCATTCTTTCGACTTTGTGTATTTTGCTGAAAATACTTTAAATGTTGTATTTGAGGAGTACCAACCCCATAACTTTGAGCTGTGAGATTTGTTTGTGCTCCAATGCATTCATTAGGATTATATACATTAAGAAATATTATCCAGATAAGTTTGAACTGAAATAGCTAATGCGCTGTCATGAAGTATTTTTTTGATTAAGAGCAAACACAGCTCAAACACAAGAGATCGTACTTACTAAATAAAAGATACGAATGGAAACGATTTTTAAAAACTGACCTTTTGCAGCTTACCGAAAACCCAAAATCCTGAAAGACATACTTACGCAAACGAAAGGTGTTACTAGTATGGCTGTAAACCATGTGGTAAACAACGATGCACCTGGTGCTCATCTATTCTTAATACTAAAACCATCAAAAGTGAATCGAGCTGTAATGAGTATAAAATCTCAGTTTCATGATTTGAATTACTGTCAATCCTCTTTGTAGATAGACTTAAAGCAATACAAAGCAATACATAGGAAAGACTGAAACACCCCTCAACATTCGACTCAACAACCATATGATCGGAACCACATTAGAACTAAATTAGAGTCCCGTGCAGACGCGTAGCTTGGAGTGTTTGGCTAGTACGCACATATCAGGGACCGCGACACATATTTTGGATTCGGGGGCTGACGACCACCGAAAGCGTGAGTATCAAGGGGGTTCTGCGGGTCCTCCCCAGGAAATCTTGAAATAATAACTCTTGAAAATAGGATTTCCAGCGCTTTGAAGGGCATCGAGAGCATATAAAAGATATCAAATCCCAAAAATTTGAATATTTCCTTGCCACTAGTACGCAAGTGCGTATATATGATCATGATTTTAAAGCGAACACACAAATAACAGCTATAGAAAGAATAAAATGATTTCGATATCATTCGAAAGGTTCTTTTTCTGGTATCAGCAAGAAATAAATACAACCGTCATGATACTTGGTATTCATTTCACTTATAATAATATTCTTTTTCAAAAAACTGATAAATTTTGAAATTAAATTAGACAAGCAAGACTGTTCAGGCTATGAAAATGAAGAGGCCTAACCTTATTAGGAAAAATACAAATCATTAAATAGTTTGCCAACCCCAAAATCCTATACTGTGCATCGTTAATTCGTATCGATCTTAATACTATAAAAGAAATCAATAGCCTAAGCACATTATCTGTATACGACTCTCATAATTATACCTGGGAAACGTTTTTAGATTATTATTTGAATAATGTGGGAATTACCTTTTAGCTTTAACTTTGACCCCGAGACACTATCCCTAAAAATACTAATATTTTTCAAGGAATGTTTGAAAGCATGATTTGTTTTAACAAATSACACGAGCCTGCTGACTCTATTAACGGAATTTTAAGTCAGATTATCTGGAATGATTGCTTTATAGCGGAGCTCCCGCAAGCAACCGACCTATAGCAGGTAAATTACATTTTATTTGTATTTTCTGCCACTTTGATCGCATCCTAGCTGCAGGATACCAATGACCGGGCAGATCGTGAAATACCGGACCGCGTACTAGCCAATCACAGCGCGCGAATGACTAGGATACCGGTCGTCCTAAAAATAATAAAAAAAACTGGTATATCCATCGAACCAATTTTTCATGGACCGACACAGGGTTCCCGCGCGTCCGCACGTTTCCTTCCAAATTAAATAACGACTATCTATTTATTGGAATTTCAAGAATCAAGGTAAAATACGTATGATATTCTTGTACAGTTTGCTGKGATGTGAAGGTCGAGAAACCCCGGGTTCAAACATCGATCTTTTGCCACTATTTGATCTGATTATTTGTACTGTAGACTATTTTTTTTCCCGAGGAGTTTGCAGTCTCAATCAATATTGCATTGACAGATTATAATAGTTTGTCCAACTGAACAAAATCTACCAAAGGCAATAAATTCAAAGTACAAAATTCTCATAAACATACTCTTTCTTTTGTATAACCTTTTTGAGCTAAATATAATGAATATGTTTATAA